TAATTTTCGCTCAATTTTGCAGAATTTTGTTTGGTTGGATTGTTCAGTGTGCTGATAACAGTATTGCCATTGATTTGTCGCTGATGACACATAGAAAGTATAGTGTAGGAATATGGTAGAGAGTTAGTCTGATCCAATCTTATATATAAAGCTGAATGTCTGTTTGTATGTATGTATGTCTGTTTGTATGTACGTATGTTCCGAATAGACAATTCCATTTCTGAACCGATCGGGACCAAACTTGGCACACATACACCTCGGGCCCCGGCGGGTGTCAAAGGCTACTTTTCGTCATCGATCGATATTGATTTTATCGATTTTTTGCAAAATTTGAGCTACAGGGCTGGGAGTTGGCACAGGGGGGTAACGAGCATCCTGATCACCCCCGTGGGGGCCCGAAGTGTATGTGTGCCAAGTTTGGTCCCGATCGGTTCAGAAATGGAATTTTCTATTCGAAACATACGGCGGAGCCGGGTAAGCCAGCTAGTTTGCTCTAAAATCTGCTCAAGATCACATTACCGCTTACCGAATGTGCAAAATTTCCGTGAACTTCGCGGAATTCCAGGATTTCCGCCAAAGTCAGTGATACTCCTAGAAGTTCGCGACGTTCTAGGATCCGCGGAATCACGGAAATCACGCAGAGTACGCAACGCCATAACTTCCTTCGCAATAAATATGTTCTAAATCTGGAAGCAGCATTTTGTTCAGATCGTCAAGGCAATTTTCTGATGTATAGCTATGCCCTCGATATTCCGTTTCCAGTTGAATTTTTCTGTGGAGGCCTTTTCGCAAAGATGTAGCGCAGCGTCTGTGCAACATAAAAGATTCCAGTAAGCACTGTTCGACAGTACTGTTCTTGTAGGTTATCGCGCGTTCAAAAGTAGCTGTACACTGTCTTCGACAAGAGATAGAAGCGTTGGTAAATTTTGGTAAAATACGTGTTTTCAAATTCTACTCGCCGTCTTTTCGGAATATATTCTGAATCCGAAGAAAGCTTTGTGCTCAGTTCATCAAGGCAAATCTTTCGGTATACAGCATGTCCTTGATATTCCAATTTCTGTATTCTCAAATCTTTCTGTGGAGGTCCTTTCGCAAAGGTGTAAAGCAGCGCGCATTGCCCTTAGTAAACTCCAGCAAGGACCCTTCGATAGCAATTTATCTGTAGATTATGATGCGCTAAATAATAAGCGCAAATTTCTTTTCAAAGGAAATAGAAGGGCTGGTGAATTGTGGAAAAATCTTGTCGTCCCAGATTCTACTCGCCATAGCCCTACAATGCGGAGCTATCTTGCTAAGCAAATGTGAGTTTTAAAATCAGCAGGGCGGATAACCTCTATGAACAAGTTTTCAGAGAACTTCGGATTATTTGGTTTTTTCTCGTTTCACGCTCTGGAACATCGCCGTTAGATTTTGGTCAAAGTGTTGATGCTTTAATTGTAAGGAAACTTCGCTTATAGAGGTTTTCGAACACGCTCTTTACGAAAATCGTGGTCTTTGAGGATCACAGTCTTTTTGGAGAGATACGGTGAGGTGACTGTAACTGCACCACGAAAGTGCGTAAATTTACCCGCACTTCTCGCGTATCTGTCAGAAAACTTGCCTGCTTGCCTTTCTAGGCGTATGCTCGTAACTCGGCGATTTCTCATAGGAGCCTGAGTCATGCACCATTCGATAGCACAGTTCCTATCAACTTTGACCTAGAAAAGCAAGCAGGCAAGTTTTCTGACAGATACGCGAGAAGTGCGGGCAAATTTACGCACTTTCGTGGTGCAGTTACAGTCACCTCACCGTATCTCTCCAAAAAGACCCTGTGATCCTCAAAGACCACGATTTTCATAAAGAGCGTGTTAGAAAACCTCTACAGTGCTGGACATAATTATAGGGACACTCTAGAAATAGTCGTAATTTTCGTTCTTGTCAGTGAATCTGTCTGAAACTTTGCTGTATGGTGCGCATGTAAGCCTGCCATAACTCCTCAGAACGGCTTCCAATCCCGTTGATTCCGAACGGAGAAAAATGGAAAAATTCGAAAAAGCCTGTTTTGCAAGCTGGACATAATTATAAGGACACCTGGCCTTTTTAAACATTATCGCATTCTTTGACTCCCAAATTTTTTTGTAGAGTTACATCCCAGAATATGAAACTTTTGCAGCACCTAAGACCTGTCATGCTACTCAAGGAAAGATGATCCTTGCATTTTTCGTTTCCAAAGGCATCAGAAGTCAAACTGCGTCAACAAACAGCTGGTTTGAGGAGTTTTTAAGCCCGCGTTCATTTCAAATGACAGTCCTGGAATACACTTAGCCTTTTTGATAGATAAGGTGAAGAGCGCTTTCGTAAACTCCGCGTAATCGCTGATTTTGACGGACAGACTCCAACCTCAACATAGGGTTGTCGCGCTTTTAAACCACAAAACTCGATTTTCAAGTTACAGAAAACGCTGCAATGTAGCCGCAACAATGCACGTACAACAATAAACTTGTGTGCCTAGTCAGGAAAAAATTTCGGGGTTGCACATTCTGGTTCAGCCGCAGTTGTCATCCGTTGAGAGTTGAGTGGAGCACCCTGCACAATCATATCCAACTCAAATCAAGAAATCGAACAGGAGAGCGCTTGAAACTTCAAAATCTTAACTAATCTCACCCACCGCGTAAAATGCGACATGAAACAGAGAAGGATATAGTGAGATTTGTGATTGTGTTGAATCTACTGCTCGCAGAGGAATTTCGTGGAAAGTATTTCAAACCTAAATGCCAACTGCAGCACTAGAAAAAATCTGAAAGTTGTTGCAAAAGCTGCGTCTCCATGTAGACAATATAAAAAATCGAGTCCATCATTTCACGAACATTGGAAAGTGAGTTTTGTGGTTAAAAGCGCGACAATCCTATGTTGAGGTTGGAGTCTGTCCGTCAAAATCAGCGATTACGCTGAGTTTACGAAAGCGCTTTTCACCTTATCTATCAAAAAGGCTAAGTGTATTCCAGGACTGTCATTTGAAATGAACGCGGGCTTAAAAACTCCTCAAACCAGCTGTTTGTTGACGCAGTTTGACTTCTGATGCCTTTGGAAACGAAAAATGCAAGGATCATCTTTCCTTGAGTAGCATGACAGTCTTAGGTGCTGCAAAAGTTTCATATTCTGGGATGTAACTCTACAAAAAAATTTGGGAGTCAAAGAATGCGATAATGTTTAAAAAGGCCAGGTGTCTTATAATTATGTCCAGCTTGCAAAACAGGCTTTTTCGAATTTTTCCATTTTTCTCCGTTCGGAATCAACGGGATTGGAAGCCGTTCTGAGGAGTTATGGCAGGCTTACATGCGCACCATACAGCAAAGTTTCAGACAGATTCACTGACAAGAACGAAAATTACGACGATTTCTAGAGTGTCCCTATAATTATGTCCAGCACTGTATAAGCGAAGTTTCTTACAATTAGAGCATCAACACTTTGATCAAAATCTAATGGCGATTTTCCAGAGCGTGAAACGAGAAAAAACCAAATAATCCGAAGTTCTCTGAAAACTTGTTCATAGAGGTTATCCGACCTGCTGATTTTAAAACTCACATTTGCTTAGCAAGATAGCTCCGCATTGTAGGGCTATGGCGAGTAGAATCTGGGACGACAAGATTTTTCCACAATTCACCAGCCCTTCTATTTCCTTTGAAAAGAAATCTGCCCTTACTATTTAGCCATAATCTACAGATAAAGTGCTATCGGAGGGTCCTTGCTGGAGTTTACTAAGGGCAATGCGCGCTGCTTTACACCTTTGCGAAAAGACCTCCACAGAAAGATTTGAGAATACAGAAATTGGAATATCAAGGACATGCTGTATACCGAAAAATTTGCCTTGATGAACTGAGCACAAAGCTTTCTTCGGATTCAGAATATATTCCGAAGAGAGTTACGGCGAGTAAAATTTGAGAACACGTAATTTTTCCAAAATTTACCAACGCTTCTATCTCTTGTGGAAGACAGTGTACAGCTACTTTTGAACGCGCGATAACCTACAAGAACAGTACTGCCGAATAGTGCTTACTGGAACCTTTTATGTTGCACAGACGCTGCGCTACATCTTTGCGAAAGGGCCTCCACAGAAAAATTCAGCTAGAAACGGAATATCGAGGGCATGGCTATACATCAGAAAATTGCCTTGACGATCTGAACAAAATGCTGCTTCCAGATTTAGAACATATTTATTGCGAAGGAAGTTATGGCGTTGCGTACTCTGCGTGATTTCCGTGATTCCGCGGATCCTAGAACGTCGCGAACTTCTAGGAGTATCACTGACTTTGGCGAAATCCTGGAATTCCGCGAAGTTCACGGAAATTTTGCACATTCTGTAAGCGGTATTGTGATCTTGAGCAGATTTTAGAGCAAATTGGATCAGACTGATTCTCTACCATATTCCTACACTATACTTTCTATGTGTCATCAGCGACAAATCAATGGCAATACTGTTATCAGCACACTGAACAATCCAACCGAACAAAATTCTGCAAAATTGAGCGAAAATTACTGTCTAGCGTATACCTATCATATCCTGCTAGACCGTGGCACTTCCATATAAATGATGATGCGTCTCGCCGAGCTGAATCGAATAATATCCTCGGATTCAGAATTCGTCCATTTTGAAGCGAGATATGGCGATGCGACGCGGATTTCGGCGGACTCTGGTGATGTGCGGCGCACTTCACTGCTTTCCGCAGACTCTAGTGGAGTGTGGCGCACTCTGCCGCACTCCGGCGCACTACAGCGCACTCCGGCGGACTGCAGTGCAGTGCGGCCCACTCTGCTGCACTCTAGCGGACTGTGTCGCACTCCGGCGCAACGCAACGCACCTCCGGCGGAGTGCGCCGCAGTCCGGCGACTTTTTTGACGAATTATGAGCGGCATTGTATCTTTTTAACACAAAAATTCTGTAATGGAACTTGTTCCCCCTACATACTCCGCATGCAGTTTCCGCAGCTTTTCGGTTCTAGATCCTAATTTTATGCACCAGAATTTTTTTGCAGGATTCAACGCTACCAACGAAATGAAGCTCTTACTGCTCTTACTGCTCCTAGTATCTCTGGCAATGTGTGGCTTGGTGTTGTCAGTGCCAAAGCAGGCAAACCGAAAGACCAAAAGGCGAGGTTCTAAAAAGTAAGATCAGATTGTACGGCTTCGTTTCGAACTAAAAACTTTATCAATTTTAGGTGGAAGTACATATGCAGCACGTCAGAAGATAAAGACGGGCTAGAAAAGAAGTTTTGCGAAAAGGTCGACTGGTACAAGTACAAGGGTGGCTACAAGACTTTAGCAATCTGCCAAGAGCGGTGCTTAGGCTACCTACAATTCTAAAAATTTGTCTCAAGCAGAAAAATAAAAAAAACTGGCACAGTACTTTCTAAAGCTTTTGTAAGAGAAAAGAACAAGTGTGCTCAAAATAAATAATTGAAGCTGAAAGAATACCGCTCAATCTTTGAACACCAAAACGCGAATTGGGACTATCGATTACCAAACAAACCCTATCACTATTTTGATTTGGGCTCGCATTCACCTCATTAATGCTTGCCCATAGATGGCAACTTTTCAAAATTTTGATCTTTTGAAGTAAACAAGATGGCTATATAGGGCGCCCAAAGTCTATGCATTCTCTCAAAAATGTTTGCTTGTTTCACTCAATGTGAAAATTGCAAAGTTACGGTGTAAAGGCTCACTCTCCAAACAAATCTAGACACATGAGGATTGTGTACTGCTTTTAGGATCTTAACTAATTGCGGAGTTCTGTTTTCACACTATCTAGCTGTTCTTATGCATGCACAGCTGGGTTAAATGCTTACAATTTTGGAATGTTGCCATTGAGTTCAGAGCAATAAAAACAATAACTCTGAACGGTCGGCCGCAGGTGTTCACTAGGAAATCATACAAAAAGTTGAAAGTGTGACTCAAACCACATTTCGCTCCTGTTTAATATGTTAACAGTAAAACGTAGTAGATTGAAAACGGATAGACAGTGTAAATTAAGAGGTTCGGAGCTTCAGGATATGAAGCTTTCTTTCGACTGTGAACCCGGGGGGGGGGGGAGGAGGGATGGGATTTAGTGCATTCTGCCCTAGCGCTCATCTGCAACATCCTCCCCTCATGAAGGGGACATGGGCAAACTCCGCTGCGATTTTTCATCATTGAACTCAGCTTCCCTCTCGCAGATGTTCATGCATACAAACCTATGACACACAAGCGGCAGTGCACATGGTGCACTCGCGGCTGAGATATTCTTCTCCGAGGCAGAATGCTGCGTATTTGGTCGACTTGAATGGCCCTTAAGTTTGTGTTTAGACTGGAGCAGTTCCCGCCAACGCTAGACGCAGAGCAATCGATCTTTTCATCTTGAATGCGCAACCTAGCTTCCAATTTGAAATCCGCAGGTGGTAGAGGCTCCAGCTATGGCGTAAGCCTTGCAATTTCGCCAGAGGATTTCTCGCCACTATTTTTGACGCAAACTATACCCGACCACAACTGCAGGATTATTTCGGAACCCCACAATACCGATCACAGCCGTTTGTTGCTTCAGACAACTTTGCACGCTGTCGCAAACGAAGGACTTGCATGAAAATCGTGTAATCCCGAAAGTAGGAAATGTTATTCATCGATTTCATCGATTTTTGCAAACTTTCTCCTGCAGCCATAACCATCACAGGAATCCAGTAGGTAGATTCAACTCAATATACTTGTAGAAGCTAATGGGTAAGCAAACCCAGTAGGTTAGGCCTACCAGTGGATAGGCTAATCGAAAAATGCAGCCATGCCGCTGTCCACGAACGAGCTTCAATGGGTGAGTTTATCATATTGTTCAGAAATAGCTAACCCAAGACTTGTGGGTTCCGGAACCAACATTAGTGCCTGCGTCCCACCCAAGCATGAAAAAAAGAATAGCAATGGGATACAAAGGAATCTGAACATTTTCGCAAATGTTGCAGAGGTTTTTGAAGAAGAAATGACTTGGCATTGATACGATATATATGGAACACTGTTTTCCTTCTCACATAAAAGCTTGAAGGCAGTTCACCCAGATCTTCAGCTTATGTGTTTTTGTCGTCCAAGGCCTTTTCATGTCCCTGATTCCAAATATCAAGTCGAGAATTTGCGAAAACCCCGACAAAACCCGTTTTGGAGAGCCCGCAGGGCGAATTGTGCGGAATGGTAAATGGTTATTAGGCGCCCACCCAAAAGGGAGGAGTCAATGTGGCGAATTCGTCATCTAAAGCCATTTTTGAAGCAATTTTCTCGCTTTGGATGCAAGTTCTGGTAGCGCGAGTTGAGCAAGTATACAGCTGAGGCACACTACTGTTAGGCATCAAAATCTCATCGACCACATTTTGGATGGACGGTGCCTTTAAATTCTTTAAGAACGTTGAAGGCAGTGTCCCGGCAGATTCACGCCCTCTATAGCCGTGGTGAGGTTCTTGGTCGCCCCACTGGCCCACAGGCCAAGTTCGGCTGGATGATGTTGCCCCCGCGTCAAAGTCCTCGAACCAGCGCGCGCAACCCAATTGGGCGCGATAGGACGGCTTCGTTTGCCTGTTCAGTGCGAGACCCCACGACAGCTCGCGCATTCTGCATGCTATACAAAGCAAAGTTTACAGGCAGCAGGGTTTCGTGCCGACCCCTCCCAACTTTCCGTTGGAATTCCTGTCTGAGCTCCATTTTCGGAAATTGGGTAAACGCCCCAAAAACGGTCTTTTCTCCCCGTGTAAAGCTCATATTCGAGAGTTCTACGTGTCGAAAATGCCTAAAACATACAAAAAGATGGAGCAAAATCTGCCGAGACACTGCCCCACCCAAAAAGTGGTCGAGACTTTGATGCTTAACAGTAGCGGGACCTTCTACCTATACTCGCTCAACCCGGCTGCCAAAAATTGCTTTTTAGGCGAGAATGCATCTCGGATACTTTTGAGTAGGTGTGACGTTCGTCCAGCCCATCCGTGCGCCGCACTTAAAGGCAGCGTCCAGGCAAGTCTGGACTTATGGGGATTTTACGTGGAAAGTACTTTTGGGGCCCTAACTAAACCACTGCCCAACCGGCAGCTCAGGTAGTGCCCTAAGTTTCGCATGGATTCATGGCGCAAAGCGTGGATCCTGGCGCGAAACGCATGAATCCATGCGAATACGTTCGCGGGGGCCAGTTTAAAGGGGAATATTCCAGCGAATAGAGCACTACATGAGCTGCCGCTTGGGCAGTGCCTCAGTTAGGGCCCCAAAAGTACTTCTCACGTAAAAGCCCCATAGGTCCAGATCTGCCTGGACGCTGCCTTTAAACCTTTGGTTTAATCGCCGTCTCGGAGAACTCGCCCTGCGGGTTCCGCGAAAGGGGGATTGTCCGGGGTGTTCGCGGATTCGATTTGATATTTGGAACTAAGTAAAAGAGGACCCCGGATCGATAAAAACATGAAAGTCGAGACTTCGGGTGGGCGGTGCTTGCAAGGTACTACGTTTGACCTTCGTTATACTTCACGCGAGAAAGTGACCCGGCAATGCTACGATCGTGCGTTGTTTATCACATCCGACTGCATCAACCCAGAGTAAATCAAAGTCATGCCATCAGGCTTTCTCTCTACAGCAAAGAAAGCTTGTTTTCACGAGTTTCCCTATAATCACACCACCACCTTTACCGTTGTAAGCGAACACGGCAATTGTGATGCGAAACTGCCTGATCAATGCTAGAGATTGGTAAACACCATTCCCAAAAGTCTTGTATCCATTTACCTTGATATAGCTTTCTCAGTACTTATGGTACGGCCGCGTGCTGTGAATTCGGTGCTGTTGGTAAGATAGCAGAAAATGGAACTAATCGTTGTACTCATCACTTTTTCGATTATGCAAGCAGATAGGCGATATTTTGGTGCTACCTAAATGTGCAAACTATGTAAGCGAAACTGTGCAAGTAAATTTTTCTCTTAAGCACTTTACTTTGGTCAGAGTCTAACCAAAACTAGGAAGAGGAGAGGGTTGTGAAGTAGAGTAGGTCAAGAAGAAAACATGTGAAGCTTAAAACTAACGTACCCTTTCATAGCAATTTTTGGGGTAACGGATGTTTCTTTGTATAGTGATCTTGCAAAGCCAACTACTAATAAAGGATGGACTTTCAAGTGTACCGACTACAGGCAGTGTCCGGCACCTGTCTACGATACAGTATGTGGTTATGTGGTGGACGACTTTCATCGGTTTGTAGAATTTTGCGCGAGGATCTATCACAAGGGTAGTTGTCAAATTTCTCAGCCGCGTTTGGACCACCGAAGCTGCAGTGCGAATATTTTAGTTGGTTCCCTAAAATCACGACGTAAGGGTACCCGTGTGTCCATTAACGTGGACGCTGATGTGTAATTCGGCCATCACGCTAACCTTCACATAAGATAATGTTTTTCAGATCTTCCCTTAGTATGAATTCTCACCCACTCGTATCTACCTTTGTTAACTTTTTTTCACTTTATTCAAAGAGCATATTCCTCAGCCATTGCCAAGAGCTCGAAGATTGTTTACAAAAAAAAAACAAGTCATTTGCACATTTTTATAAACCATGTAAGTAAATTTCGAAAATTTCGCGACCCATTCTTGGGGGAGGCCCTCTCCCTTCGCCCTCGTCCGCCAGTGGAAGCATAAAGAATGTCGCGCCGATTTTCAAAAGATGCAAGAAATCGCCTTAGTTGGTATGAGCACGTGAGGACGAAGAGAAGAAAACCACGCAGCGCCAGTGGCCATGTGGGGAGAAGTGCCAGGGAAGCGGCCAAGAGGAAAACCTAAGTTGTAATGGCTGAACACAAAATCAAACCAGACATGAAAAAATTTAAGCTGAACAAAGAGTAAGCCACGGACCGACAAAAATGGAAAAGAAAAGACATATAAGAGCGGCAGACTCGGCATAACGGAAAAGTGCAAGGATAAAAAAAGGTGAGACGCATTGAAATGGTTTCATATGAACAGTGTTGTTGAGACGCCCTCAAAGAAAGTGATTCTTCATAGATTCTTACGCAAGATTCAGCTCGCTGTATATACCATCGGCTCCACGATTCGTGTAGAGGCGGGGTTTTGCCAACTCAAAGCGTGGCGGTTTTTGATAGCGAGAGAGTACAAAAAACAATGCTATGACATGGAGGTTTAATAAGTGTACCTGTGTTATCAGGCAAAGTCTGCAATACACCTCTACACGAATCGTGGAGACGATCATACTTGCATATTCTGTGCAGTCGCAAAAATTGGTGCCTATAGGCTTCGACAAAGCAAGGACCACACTAATTCCATTTTTTTGAAGATCTATACGATGTTTATGAATAGAGAAAACCTTCCAGCATGACAAATTTCAGAAGTTTTCAACAGTTTAAATGTACTCGATTATAGTAATGAGCATACCTCCATCATTGCCATGTA